CCATTCTTACCTTCCACCACAAAACTGGACATCAGTTCAGGCTCCTGTTCTTCCACCTTCTGCCCTTGGGAGGGCTCTTCCCCCATCAAACGTTGCTGGGATGCTGTTGTTCATGTTGAAAGTCACAGTCATCTTTTCTCCGGAAACTTTCCACACTAATTTGGTTTCTATCCCATCCACTTCCAGCTCCCAGGCCCCAGACATCTTGGGGAGGGACCTATGCTTCTAGATCTTCTTTTCCTCCTTATTCACATCATTCAGGAACTCAAGCAAGCTTTGCGTCCGTGGGTGTTCAGTGGTGCCACAGCCGGAAGGCCCGCGGGGGAGCAGGAGGTCCACATGCGCTCAGACCAGCGCCAAGGGCCCGGGTGCAGGAGTGGCAGGGCGGGCGCAGAGCCTGGCAACTGTGGAGCCCAGCGTGGGGCATGGGGCACAGCTGAGGCCCAGGGAGGCAGCACCCTGGCAGTGGACTTTCTCCCCCTTTTAGTTGCTGGCCAATAGTCCACCATATGAACACACAGTTTGTTAATCCGCCCTATTGCTGGGGTCCTGGGCTGTCTCCGGCTCACGGCACCATGGATGAAGCTACTATGCACACTCTTACACACGTATGTATTGCATATGTACGTTTAAGTCTAGTTTTACAAAAGCTGCCATATTTTAAAAATAAGTTGTACCATTTTACTCTGCCACAGTTGTTTATAAACAACCTGGTTGTGCCAACACATTTGGTTTTAATTTGCATTTCTTTGATGAGTTATGGTGCTGAGTATTTTTCACGTGTTTATTGGCTTGTGTATGTTTCCTCTGGTAAAGTTCAAATCCTCACTTTAAAATTGGGTTGTCTTCTTTTTTTTTTTAAATAAATACATTTGTAGGAGTTACGTATTCAGGACACATACAATTTGTGAGTATGTTCTCCCAGTTTGTGCCGTGTCTGTTTCTTTGTGAGATGGTGTCTTGTGATGGATATGCTCCCATCTGGTCAGCGTGTCAGCTACCGGCGCTTTGTTCAGTGCTTACTGCTTACTGGGCTCCATCCGAGCAACGTTTGGTTACCTGCAGGTCACGAAGGTATGTTCCTACACTTTCTTCTAGAAGTTTTACACCTCCTGTTATGGTTAAGCTTTTATGTTTAAGTCTGTGATGTGTGCCGAATCCAGTCCGTAGGAGCTGTGACGTTGATGTCAAAGTTTAATTTTCTTCACGTGAACATTTCCCTGTTCCGGCACCATTTGTTGCAGGGCATTGTTGCCCACTGGATTGCTTTGATGCCTGTGTCCAAATTAAATGACCACAAAGGTGTGGGTCTATTTCTGGGCTATCTACTCTGTTCCAGAGATCTATTCTGATGTCAGTTTATTTTATATTTTATTTATTTTTTAAAAAGTTTACTAATACTTTTAAGTCGGCTCTACCCCCAACATAGGGCTCGAACTCACCACCTCAAGATCAAGAGTCGCATGCTCACCAACTGAGCCAGGCAGGTGTGCCTCTAATGCCAATTTTAAGTCTAAACTGTTTTATGGCAACTCATGCTTTTTAAAACTTTATTTATTTTGAGAGCAAGAGAGAACGAGAAAGAGAGAGAGGTCGGTCATGTACGCTTGCAAGCAGGGGAGGGGCAGAGACAAAGAGGGAGAGAGAATTTCAAGCAGGTTCTGTGTTGCAAAAGGGAGCCCCACTTGGGGCTCAATCTCACAAACCGTGAGATTGTTTACTGGAGGTGAAATCAAGAGATGACGCTTAACAGGGGTGCCTGGGTGGCTTCGTCAGTTGAGCGTCTGACTTCGGCTCAGCTCATGATCTCGCAGTTGATGAGTTTGAGCCCTGCATCAGACTTGCTGCGTTCAGTGCAGAGCCTGCTTCGGATCTTCTGTAACCACCCCCCCCCCCCCCCCCCCC